AATACAAAAAAGACGAAAAATACAGAAAAGAATACCAAAGTACCTTTAGTTTGATAAATCAAACCGCCTTTTTCTTTTTAAAAGTAAGGCGTTTGCATACTTCATTATTATTAGGTAAATTTAGAAGCTTAGAGAGGCCTCAGAGGATGGAAAAAAAATAAAGGACAGTAATGGATTTTCATACGTATTTACTTTGCAGGCCTTAGCCAGGGAGAAGTCGCACGATACATAAATGACAAACTTTCCATGTTCGTTTTTTGAAAGTAATGCATACATTTCCGGGCATGTGTGAGAAAAGGTATCTAGTTGAGTGAACGAAAGCTTTCATAGATTTCTCATAGGTGGCGCTACGACAAAAAAGTGGCTTATTTTTTTCCATCCTCTAAAGGTTAACCCTTTCACGGACAGTACTTAAATAGTAGGGACCGCACACAAAAGTCAGTATTTTTCCTGCCTTATATTGCTTCAATATAAAATGTTCAATTATGTAAATCATTGAATTTTGTCAGTACGTTGTTGAGACTTCTCTATGGAAAAGCAGTAGGCAACTACACAGAAAGCACGTGAAAATCGCACAGTTGGTTTTTTAGTCCATCCATATAGCAAACAGGGTACTCCATACTATCATATTCTAATATCGGCTGTTCTAATTTCGGGTGTGGCTTTAGCTGAATGAGATCCTTTTACATACGCCTCAGCCGCACATATATCAGTTAAGTTAAAAAAAAGTTATACAGTATTTGTTGTTTAGTTTAAATGTTATATGCCATTTTTTGTGTTATTTATTTATTTTTTTATTTTTTGGTTTTTATATTTTCTTTCTTATAATGTGGCATTGCAATAAATAGTTTCTATTTCTATTCCTAATATAAAATTTTATGGCAAATGCTGTTACTGTCCATGAACGGGCTATAAACCAAAAACAAAGATCTGCAACAAGCACATAGTACAAAAAAAGTGCTGGTTCGTTCCATAGCTTAGTTGGGAGAGCGTCAGGCACGGTATGCTGAAGGCGCTGGTTCGAATCCAGCTGCATTGAAGGAATTTTTCTAACTTCGTTCGATCTTTTTATTAATTATTATAACAAACTAGTAGTCAGTCATTTCACAAAAAATAATTGAATATCATGATACGATCTCCATGGTCGGGTTGCTTGCTTGCTTGGTCCCGGGTTCGATTCCCGGCCGGGTCAATGCAGAAAACTTACTATTCTATATTGTCTCGAGTCTGAGTGTTTGTGGTACCGTCGTTATTTCCGATACCCATAACACAAGTACTATAGTTACTTCTATTCTACCTTTTTTTTTTCAAAACAATAAATAAATAGTGTATTTTTTATATCATCATGCCAATTTAACCTCGTCTTAGTACTTTAAAAAATATCATAATATTGTATCACTGAGATCCGGTGGTGGATACCTGGTGACCTATAATACACGTCCTACCTAGTTTAGGTACCAGTCTTCCACCCCACAATTTAACTATATGATGTTCCATAGTTTAAGTACCCTGTAAAATGTATTGTTAAGATGGAAAAGAACAATAAATAATTTGTAATTGTAACTGTAACTTACTTTGGGATCAAAGCCACGTAAGTGATGTTGTTTATGAATATTTCATTGAATATTCTTGAATATAAAAAACCTTATTTATAATTATATTTTTTGACTAGTACGTTTTCGCATGCGTAACAAACACATTTATCGTACATCGTGTCTAAGGTTATCCGCCAAAATACTTGCTCGTAACTGGAAGGGTCAAAATATTTTGAATTGACTTTCAAATGGCATCACTGTACGGTTTTGTGCCGCCTTTAATTCAATATAAGTAATTATTGTTTATTGTTTTATATAATTACGTTCAAATTTTCAAAGATCTGTCCTTAATTTTTTAACTGCGGACAACGATGTTGCTCGGTAATATATTTTGTACACCGCCAATTTATTTATACTGAAAAAATTGGCACTACAAAGTGTGGACAGAATTCTTTCACAGATTTTCTGTTCCAATGTACAAGTGCTATGTCATTTATTATGCCGCCACATAATTCTGTGGCTATAGTGAAAAGGGGTACAAGTAAAAAAAAACAACTTTACTACAAGGAGACGCGAAAAACAGTTAAAGCTTAATATGATATTAAGCGTTAAGTATTCGCGTTTTCTTGTTAAGTTGGTTGTACCCTTTTCACTAGAGCCACAGAATTTATTCATCGTATATGTAGAATGTTCATCCATTAAATTTAACTGCCAGTCAATTAGCAGCCACTTACTTCTAACATCATGCAGTTAAACAACGTCTTTATAATTGCGGCAAGTGGGTTTGTTAGTACATTGTTTTAGAACTGAACTATTGTCTCAATCTTCTAATGCATCAACAAGTTAGGACCAATTTGAACACAATTAGTCTTATTTGTCATGGAAAAAGGGTGTGAAACACGTAGGTATCTATGGTGTGAAATGTAGGTTTTAGTAGCAACAGAACTCCTTGTGAAAGAGTTCGTCCAGAGAAGTATTGCCACCTTACCTATTTCTACCACCAAGCAATAATGTGAGCTTTACTGTGTTCCGGTCATTGACTTACAAATAAATGGACGACGGGTCTAATACAAAAACCACGAAAAAAATGTCCCAAGTCAACCTATTCGAAATTTAAATTGTTATGTCATCGCAGTATCGCGCTGTCCGTAGAACAAATGAAGACTAAAGCGGAGTGTCGCGCTCTGTATACGATTTTAGCGCCTTACAAGTGCGGACACTTTTTAGCGCGGACCCGACGTCCATATAATTGTAAGTCAATGGTTCCGGTTTTGCAGGGAAAGTGTGCTGGACAAAGTACTGGCACATGGGACTTGTCAACTAACGTTGTAACGATTTACTTTTGTCGAACATGTCGT